GAACTTATCAAAACTTTCTGCTTTGTGAAATAAAGGTTGTGGTTTAGGCTTCAAATCAACATGCTATAATAACATGAAGTGTACAGTAGTAAGGATTAGTTGATTGTTCACGTGAACCCAATATGGACGGAGAAACTTCAAGTAAATTTTCTAAAAAGGAAAACGCCTGAAATGAAAAGAAAGTAAAAGCTTTGAGTCCTTGTATATGTTTTACAGACTGTGCATTCAGTCATTAATGTTCATGGTCCGTATCTTGTGTAATGAATTAAGGTGAGTACAAAACTTGCCAAAGGATACTGATACAAATTTGTCATTTTTTAAAAGACAAATATTAACTGTAAAAGTTTTAAGATCATAGCTTTGAAATTCTTGAAATTCTACAGTCCATGTGGAATGTAGTTTTATTACAATTGATATTGCATTGCTAGAATGTGTCAGTCTTTTTTTTCAGAGGGTTTTGTGCATAAATTATAAACCTGGCAAGGCCATTGCTCCTGTACTTGTACCAAGATCTATGTGACCGATTTGTTTTTTTCTTTTGTCGTAATCTCAAAAGAAATAATTCATGTCCACAGTTTTTTTTTCCTATTGGCAGTGAATAATAATTGTTTTTTTAAAACACAAAAGTCAAGAATTAATTTTATTTTACATTTTTAAAGTAAAGGGATGAAAAGTTGTTGACTTCCACTCAAGGTCCTTATGTTAATGCTGTTCATAGTGAAAGGCTATTAATGGTCAATTAATACTTTGACGATATTCACAGATTTTTAACTTTGATTACTGTTTTGGTAATTCTTTTATGCAAGACTTTTATTTTGGATATTGAGGTGATGGTTCTTACATTTTTACAGGCACGTTAGGTATTATTTTGAAACTTAGTTTTATGAGGTTCACAATGCTGATCAGATGAGCTTTGACTTTTGGTCTAGGGCTTCACATTATATCGCTGGTGGAGTGATGAAACCTCGTAACCCTCAATTTTTTTGGAAATCGTTTTTTTGCCTAAATGTCTTCTTCTAGTCCTTCTTCACATTGTGTCAAAAGCACTAATTTAAATTATGAAGAGAAAGTACGAAAAAACCTTACTAAAAAACCTCGCATGTTTGCCCCTATGATATCCTGGCGTGATGAAACCTCGCAACCCTCACCTGGTGCGCCGATCTGCTTTTGCGTGGTTTCATCAATCCCTGTTTGAGAGAGCGACTTGCTTATACGAGGTTCTAGATAGGCCTTCTTTATGAATTGACTCAATGGAAGCGCCCATAATTGACATTTTCAGGTTCGTTTTATATGCCTGACTTAATAAAGAAATATTTCATTCATTCATTCATTCATTCATTCATTCATTCATTCATTCATTCATTCATTCATTCATTCATTCATTCATTCATCCATTTTATTTCAGTCAGTTCAGAAATTCAAATATGATCATAAGTGAAGGAGTTACATAAGGTAAATCTATTCGAAATCCTCTTAAAGGGATGACTAACGTATTGGTAAACAAAATGTTCTCATAAAGCACAAACGTAGTTAACATTTAATTTAAGGCAACAGTCACACCTTGAATAGACAGGTGACAATAGTCCTTACTAAGAATAAGTGACAAGTCTATGCACTCTCCAGATGTCACCTGGCCATTTTGTTTATCGGAGAGAGGGTAAGGTTTCACCCCATCTCAGACTATGAATCCGCTGATTAGTCGAATTTTTCAGTCGTGGTTGAGACCAAAGAGTACTGAACCTACCCATGTTCTTCTTGACCCTGAAGTCTATAGAGGACATTGTGATAAATTTGTGCCTTAACAATACAAGTGATATGGACATTTACGCATCTGTTTTGAATATCTAACCCCAACTGTGCTCGCATCACCTAGATCTTTACACCATCCAAGGGCTGGTTTGGAAACCACTGAGCAGACTCCGTTCCATGAATTGACTCCAGCTACCATTTCGAAGTCCTTTCCAGGGATGTGTCTTACATGTGGGGGGAAGGAAATATCAGCATCATCCCGGGCTGAGTCTGCACCAACACCAGTGTCGCCTGGAATCACGCCCCAAACCATACTGACGTTTCGCCAGACAGCTGTAAGTCAGCTGCTGAATTATTACCTGCGGAGTCACAGCAACACGATCTGCAAACCACATTCCTCGGTCCATCTCACCTTCATTCACCTTAGCCACTTTTCCTGGAGCCTGATCCAGAAACACAACTCATTTGGGATGCCACAGCGGAAAATAAGGGTTTTCAGGGGTGGCAACAGATAAGCGAAGGCCATCCGTGGATCTGGTCAGGGATACCATAATGATTCAATGAAAAGCCCAGCTACGTCACTGAAACCAAACTGTGATTGCAAGAGCTGAACTCTGAAATGTAAAGGGCAAAGGGCTCTCGAGGAAGACAGACATATTAATTTTGATTTAGTGTGGTCCTCTCATGGGATGAAAAAAAATGTCTCTTTATTGGACTAGTGAACATAGACCAATCTCAGAGGAGGCATTCAGAAACTAACCAGATAGGACATAGTCTTCAAATACACATTTAAAATGGTGCTCATAAAGTGCCAGTGTGTAAATAGATGTTCCTGCATTCAACTGGGTTGAGTGAATGATTTGTAAGAAACATTTAGAGCCAGTTATCAAAGGAACTCAGATATCTACAAAATGCATGCACAATTCTGCCAAGACCACGGGAGGTAGCCTCTCAACAGGCACCCTCCCCCCAAACAATGAGACAATCAGGAAGAATAGCCTGTCTTGTTCATGCCAAAGAAAGATATGTGCGACCTTTGCATTATCCGTGAAGTTGGCAACGTGCGGATGATGTTTGGAATGCTCACACTCTAGAAAAGGGGCAGCGGGCAAGGAAAAGGAACGAGACAAATCTGCAGCCTTCAAATACCTCGCCCGTGATGAACCTAAAACAGCACATGTTTTCTATGGATCTTCAGCTTGTACTTCTTACACTTACACTCACCCAAACTGAATGCATCAGCCTTATATTACAAAACAAAGCGTGTCGTTCATAACTTTACGATATTTGAAGCTGCAACACATCCGACTACTTGCTACGTGTGGCATGAAGCAGAATCGGGAATTAGCATATAAGTTTGTTTAATGTCTACTGGCTTTCTTGAAGGAAAAGCTGTACTTCCAGAAAACATTACCGACAGCGACTGCTGTGGTTACCAATACAGAAATGCCACACTAGCCAATGTTTCTCTAAGCCTGTTTGCAACAACACATGGTAGCACAATTGAACAGAAATGGTTGATCAAAGGACAGACAAATGTAAGTTCACTGTGCACTCAACTATTGAAAGATTAGTTCGAAAAGCACGAATCGAGGTCCCCCTACATTACCTCCATTTCTCCAGGATGGCCAGAAAAAAAACAGACAAATATTTGGATCACACATTATTCTAAGTGAGGAAGCTACAAGTCTATCAGATCAGGAAGAAAAACGGGTGATCCTGTTGTCACCGACATCAGGTGTTTGAAGTACACCCCAGACATGAACATCCAGTTCAAGCTGCACTTCAGTGATGTATGGGCTGACGTTACGAAGGCAAGACACAGAAACATGAGGTCCATCCTGCTACACCACTGAACACAGAACATCTTAAAATCCAGCACTCCCAAGTACAATCACCTGTAGGAGCTTGAATCTATTACAATGTATTTCCAATATACGTCATCACTTTATAACAGTTTACCCCCTTATCATTAATAGCTATTCATTATGCGAGGGGGGGGGGGGTTCAGTCCCAGACATCGTACTGATCTTTTTGGGGGGGTTTTGTCCTCACATTCGTTATGTATTTTCAAAATTAACCCAATTAGTATTCATGACCCACCACCTTTTATTTGATTGACATCCTTCATTCGCTTTTCAAATCATTTTGTGTTGGGCGTTTGTGTGTGTGTGTGTGTGTGTGTGTGTGTGTGTGTGTGTGTGTGTGTGTGTGTGTGTGTGTGTGTGTGTGTGTGCGTTCTTAATAAATTTTGTAATGGACTGACGCATTACAACTTTGAAAAACAGGTCTATATTTAGATCTAGATCTATTTCTTTCCATTGTGAAAGCCATCTGTAGTGCAGCAAGAGACCAAATTGCAGAGATATACTATTCATTTGTGTTTTTTGTAAAATGGAAGTAACCAGATCTAATCCTGGAAAATTATATTGAAACAGATTGCACAAATCGCTGACCCGTTTGAGGTTTCAAACCCAAATTCTGCAGATAACACACATTTATTTGACTTCAGTTGGCTGGGAATCCAACTCTAAACTAATTGATCTTGAAGAAACATCTTCATCACTTTGTGGCGTTCCAAACAACAGATGCATACTGCAACCAAATGAGCTGCGAGAAAACTCGCAACCCTCAAACTCTGTCCTGATGAAACCTCGCAACCCACACGCCGGCTGACTACGAGGTTTCATCACGACAAAAATATTGTAATGAAACCTCGCATCCCACAGCGTAACCATTTAAACAGTAGAAAAGTTATTTTTATGTACTAACCACGTTTCTAAGGTGTTTTCATTTATCTGTACCGACTTTGGTTCATATCGATCATTTTGTTCACGGGTAAATCAGTTTTTTGTCTCTCCTGTAAAATTTTCCTTTCTGGGGTTGCGAGGTTTCATCACTCCACCAGCGATATGCGGATTGTTTTTTTAGAATATAAGTATGTATTTGTTATTTTTAAATTTAAAAAAAAATGTTGTAGTTTAGAATGCATGCTTTTGCATTATAATAAAGTCCCAGGATGCAGAGAACAAAGGTTACATGGTGTGCATGTTTGTATTTGTTTTGTTCTGAATTGATGCAGCATTAAATTTCAACTTAGATCTATACTTTAATATAAAAAAATCAATTCTTGCCTTTCAATATGATGTGGAAGATGTGATGCCATCCCTGTGTATTTAACATGAAATTTTTGTATCAGATGAATCAGATATTTTGATAATGTTTCTTTTTTTATTCTTTTCTCTCATCAGCTTCTTGGATAGCCCTGGTCATCGGCATTTGCTTCTGTTCCATCTTATGCGTTGTACTTGTGGTGATGGTTTTACGACTACGGACTAAAAGAAATGCTACATATTCAAGACTTTAATTTTTCTTCCAACTTAATCTGTGTGTTATATATGCATTGCATTTTTGCTTAAAAAAAATTCAAGTGAAATGTCTGTTAATGAACTGTGTTGTTGATTCTTATGATTTTTGTGTTCGTTTGTCATGAGGAGTTGGTGGGTCTCTCCTGATCTGACTTGAGTGTAGTACTTATGTAGAGTGAAAGTAATATATGTGTAGCTCTGGTAGATGAATTTTTTGAATGAATTGCTGCTGATCTGATGAATGTTATGACAAGACTTTTGTGTTCATTTTATGTTTGTCCTATATTGTCCTGATGTTCTTTTGGCAAAAGGGGTTTCTGTAACGGCAGGTCATCATGCCATTGGTCAACCTATTATGCGTTGGAGGTTGGCCTGTAATCGGAGATCCAACCTCAAGAATAACCTGGGGGCTCTCGTGGTCTAGAGATTACGGTGTTCGCCTCTCATTCAAAAGGTCCTTGGATCGAAACCTGACAGCGACGGAAAATTTTCTTCTCTAAACTTTTCTCCTTTCACCTCCTTTCCTTCTCTCTAACATTGTTCTGTTGCATGCTTTCGTCTCCACTTCCCGTCCCCTCCACTTTGCCCCATCCCCTGTGCTCCTGACTCTTTCTGCAGCCTTTCTACTGCAACTTCTTGGACTTTTGTCTTTCAGCTGCACCCCTGATCTTGTATGGTAGGTAAGATCTACACCTAGCCTTCTTGGATAAGGGTGAAAAATCTGTGATGTGCCGTGTGCAAGTTGCACACTTTAAAGATCCCTTGGTTCTCTTAAAATTAACAAGAGTAGGCTTCGGCAGCCACCTGGGCAAAATTCAAAATTCCTACCAAACTGAAAATGTTTAATGTGTCCCGTGTGCTCATATGACCTTATACAGTTGCAAGCTTATTAATACACTTGTCAAAACAAAAAAATATGATAAAACTTTGGATATGTTAAAAGGGGATAGTATAGCAAACTGAAATTGGGAAAAAGAAAGACCAGATGGGTTTGAGAAGTAACTGCTGAATTGTGACAGGAAAGCAATTTATTTTTTAATTAAAAGAAAAAGACATTAATTGTACATTCATGGGGGAGGAGGATATTAGGGTGTAATGTCTCAAGTTTAAAACTTTATCTGTCAGAAAAACCTTATGTCATTTCAGGCAATGTGGCTTTGAAACTCAATATATGTCGTGCATAAATTGTTTATGTATGCGGATTTAGATGGGGATGCTTGGTGGATGCACTGGTTTGTTTTGTTCCTTTTGTTTGTTGGTTTTTTTCAGCCTTGCTAGCCTATCATTACCCCTATCTGTTACTAGAGCTATTTTTACAATGTCTCAGTAATAAGCCTGGGCTACATTCATAGAGTTGAGTTTGAGTTGAAGCTTCACTGACCCTGTAGAAAACAGTGTCCAGAAATAAAGTTCAGCTCCTTAATGTTCTCCAACTTCATTCTTTATGATTCATGATTCATTTATCGCTGTGCTCTGATTTTCTGTGTTTAAAGTGTTGGTGCTGTAAAACTAATAATGAGAAAAGAAATTATGATCACTTTATTTTTTGTGAAAGGCATAATGCTGGCTCCCTAAGAAGATTTCATACATACACTGGGTTTTCTTACTGAATTTGTCATTGTTGTTGAAGTGTTATCTGTTTCATTCCATTGGCAAGGTACTTACTGCAGTTCAGTTGAGCTGGAGGCGCACGTTTACATAATATTGCCCTGCTCAGATGTTCAGTGTACTCTGCTGTAAAGAGCACCCATAAATTATGTAACATGTAAAGGGTAATCATATTATGTTAGTTTCACATAGATTCTTACAGATTCATCTTGATGAATATATGACATTCGTCTTATTGGAGAGAAAGTTCAACATTAAACTTGTGTACTAGCTCATAATTTTGTCTGCTCATTTGTTTGTGTTTTGGAAAAAAAGAGCAAGAATTAGTTGATTTTCTGGTATTGTCTCCTTCTTCTCTGCTAAAAATTTCCCCACCTTTTTTTAGTTTTACTGTTTACTTTGTAAGATACCTGGTAAAAATTGAGCCAGGGTTCCTTAAGTTATGACCATTCCACATTATGTTCATTCTGCTCTAAGATGAATTATATATCAAGAAGTGTTTTGTCTTAGTCTGAAATGGTCGATTTTGGTTGTGTACTGCTTTAAAGAGCTGATTAAATATGATTCAATCCAAGTTCATTATAATGTGTTCAGTTGTATTCATTAATGTAATCATGTTTTTGACTTGTTGCTGAGTGTTTGTTAGGGGCAGTTGGAGGACACCGCTGGCTGTTCCTACAACATCTTACTTCCCTTTTCTACATTCCTACCAATTTCCCATGACCGTAGGCCTACTACATGCATGAAATTAACAGAAGTAATGATTTGGAGGAACACCTCACGTTTTATATCCCTTTTATTTTTTTCTCATGTCCTCGCTTGTTCAAGAACTTATCCTCTCATATTTAACAACTTTACTTTTTCAGTTTTAGCCAGATTTACTCCTAAGGTCAGATCTACTCATTACAACCTGTTTTGGAAGCTGTCATGAGGTGAAATGGATATGTTTGTTTATGTGCAGTAGTGTTTGCACTGAAAAAAAATTCTACTGCTTGTACTAAAGGCTGCAAATAAAACAAGACTTTCTTGAAATTTAGTGTAACTCTTAGGTCAGCACGTCTGCTGAGTAGATGCAGCATTACTGTTTGTTGTTTTTTTTCCTTGTTTTTCTCATTTAATATCAACTTGCCAGTACACATCAAACCTTTCTTCCTTTCTTATACTTTCTGATGGAAAGTACATGCTTGTAGTTTTGAAAACTTTCTTTTCTATGCTGAAAATATTAATGGGCTCATATCACTTCCTCAGAATTACGAAGTTCTATCTGCTTAATAGCTCGTTTTGAGAAATATGACGACAGAATTTTAAAGATTCGCAATATGTCAAGCTTTTTCGAATGCAATTCTTTGAATATCTTGGTAACGACTCCAAATATTCTTACAATTGTGATAGAGCATTTGCTTTCGGACTTCATGGTCTTAGTAACTCAAAACGGCCAAAAATGTCAGATAGAACTTTGTAATTCTGAGGTAGCGATATATTTTCAGGTAAAATTGTTGAGACATTGTAGGGAATAGGTTTACGACTTGTATGAGTTAATGCTTTGGATAGAAATAGTACCAGTTCTGTCCCACCAGCTCCTCCTATAGGGCGGCTTTTGACCAATATGATTCACGGTACTAACTTGTCCACGACCTCACTTTGTCTATGTTAACTCCACTGGTACCAGGATTTCTGCAAGTTCCACTTGCCTGTTTGATAATTCTCTGTGGACAACACCTCTGTCACCCGCGTCTGTGTAGGTGGTTAGCGGGTACTCTGGTACAGTTTGCTACTAGTACTTCTTTCATATCAAACTCTATTGTCCCGATCTCTTCTCCTTTTATTTTTCTGTGTTTGTTACTCTCTTGTAACACCTCTAATCTTCGGCACCTATATGTTCTTATTGAGTTGCAAGTGCTATAAAACTCTTATTTAAAAAAACCCACACACACCCAAACCATGTGTCTGTGGTGAGGTAGTTAGACTCCTCGCTGTAACAAGCAGAAGACGTCAGTCTGAAGTGTCTTTAGGCCATTCCGAAAGGGGGGGACATGAACATTTTCTTATGCTCGGAAGAATTGTAAATGGGCTGATTCATCAATGTCATGCTCATAACTGCCTGAACTGCATACGGGGAACTGCTGCTTTTTCTTTCCTAATCCTTACTATCGTCATTTTTCCTCTATTTCATTTGTATGTTTGTCACTCTCTTGTGACCCGCTATTTCCTGGGTGCCTTAATAGTTGAAGCAGACTTTGTGCTGTTGATGCTAGAGAGGTGAGCAGAGTAATCCTGATTCCCCGTTTGGACTTCTCTGTTGACATCCACCCCTTGACGCTCATATATGACCTTTTGCAGTTGCGAGCGCTGTAAGAGCTCTACTAAAACTATAATAATATATTTAAAAAAGAAGACGTCTGTTCCCTTCCTATGTAGGGAACTCGAATTTTTGAGAATCTCTGTATGTTTGCTGGGATGATTTAGACCACTTAGCCTGTGTTGGCCTCTTCAATGTTTTACATCGTGTTGATTTAGGTGTATAACGTTTTCAATCATGTACAATCAATAATCTATATTTTCTCTGCAATCATTATTGTGTAACAGCATGCCTGCAAACATACACACACACACACACACACACACACACACA